GTGTAATGTTTGTTAAATGACATACCTTGTAATGGATGTTTATCAACTTTGAAAAATAAACTATTAAATGATCTTGTTCTTGAACATGCAACATATAATTGGCCGTGTGAAAAGCAAGGCTTTTTGAGATAAACACCAACTTTTTCAAATGTTTGACCTTGACTTTTATTTATGGTCATTGAGTATGCTAACCTAACGGATGGAGCTAATTGAACTTGAAGAACAAATACCCTGTTACCAGCTGATACACCTGTTAAAACCTCACTATCAATGTAATTGTTGTGTAGTGCACATACCATCAAACGGGTTTCATTACAAAGTCCACCTTTGAGATCTAAATTTCTAAGTAGCATTATAACAGCACCAGTTTTTAATTTTAGGCAATGAACAGGCATACCTGATGGAGTCAAACTATTTAAAAACTTGACTGGAAAGTTATTAATTTCATTACGATCATCAGTTTCAATGCTATCTGAACTTAAATATGTTTTCACATCACCAGGTAAAGATGAAGGACTTCTTCATTTATTGCCAATAAATCAACATTTGTTGGTGTTAAAATAGCACGTTTTGCATAATCAGCTTCTTCTGAACCACCGAAAATCTTCTCCACAATAGATTTATTACATTGTTCTATAACTTCTGCTGGTCGACCTCGCTTCACAACTGGAAATATTTGTCTAAAGTCTCTACCCATAAGAACTAGCTGTCATGACCCGTAAAATACGGGTCTTTAGGATATTGATGCACACTTTATCCGCGTGCTTACAGTTCATAAGAACTATTATCCGGTTTATAACACAAGATAATCTCAATCAAATGAAAACATCTAAATGATAACTTTTAATGTCCTAGATACGAAGATTAAACTTATTGATTGCGTAAACACTAACTTTAACATAAATGGCATTTGCGAGACACTTCTTGCAACTTATGTCAAAATTTAATAGTGACTCTAAATTCCTAAAGGATAGGGGGGAGACGCTTTTTTTGTCGCTTTTATCTAAATTCTAAAAAAAATATCAAACAATGTAATAATCTAAAAATAATAATATGATAATGTTACTATAAATGTAATAAATCTAAATCCAAAAGTCAAGGATTAGAGAGATGTAAGAAAAAATTTGTAAAAAATTCTTTTTTTAAGCCTTAAATTTTATCTTTTTTTAAGTATTTAATCATGGAAGTATAAAACAGATGGAAGTTCAACCGCTTTGAAATTCTTCGGGACTATGCTTGTAACCTTTTGTTTCGTAAACAATAAGAAAACGACATCAAGACTGTACTTCAATGCTTAATCTTTATACGTTGACGCATAGATACGTTTATAATAATTTAAAAATATAGTGTTTTGAAGGTTCGCCAATAATATTCAAGAAAAACATTAAAAATGGCGCAACGTAACGGCAAACAACAATTTTTATATAAACTTTATATTAAATGAATGGAGTACTACAAGAATGAATGGAGTTATGATATACATCTAATAATACTTTAAACTTAAGTTATTTAAAAAACATTTTTTTTGATTTTTTAAAAATTGTTTTTGTTGTCTTTTTTATCAAATGTCGTGTTATGACTTGAAGCAAGAAAAGAAGCTTAAACTAACATATGCTTTTAAAATCAAGTGGTTCTATTTAATTACCGAGTTTTAATAAACCTTTTTTTTTTTTTTTTTTTTTTTTATTTTAATTCACCTCCTCAAGGCCGAGAAGGCCACTACAGACGAGGAGGCTACTTATTTGTGGTTACACCCCTCTCTCAACTCTATAACTCCGAAACAGGAACCTTGACGAGCAAGGCCGCTGCGCGCAGAAACGAGTTGAGCGCGGTACTACCAGGGACGTGGTGGGGATCGAACTCGGAACCACTCGTTTATGAAGCGAGCGCTCTACCACTACACCACTACCGCACAAACCTTTTGTTGAATAATTGCAATTACTAATGGTTAAAAATTTGCAGCATATCCCTAGAATGATTCATTTTTTAATGTTTTAATAAAGATCATTTCAGTGAATTTTGTTGTTTTTTTATCCAGTGAAACTTGTTTTTTTTTTATTGTCGGTTACAAGCATACTCCCGAGACGACTTGAAATTGCTTTGATGTTTGCGGCTCGATGAACTTCCATCTGTTTTATACTTCCATGATTTAACTAAGCATTTAACAAAGCCTCGTGGTGATTAAAACCGCATGGAAGTAAAATTCGATTGGCATTTTGTTTAAAAAACCTAGGTTGGCACTTTGTACCACAGCGATATTTATCATATACAAAAAAGCTGAATTTCTGTTTTTGTATATTTGATCAACAAAGTTTTTTCTCAAAAAGACTTGGAATATGTCAAGAAAGTTGGAAACTAAGTGTTAAAAGACTTCACGAAAAAACAAAATTTTGAAATTTGTGAACGATTTTTTTTTCTCGTTAGCGAAGTTGGTTCTGTGTCAAAATGCGAGGATCAAACTTTTGATTAATACCTTTACATATGTTGTCTATATACAATATCTATAAAACTTTATAAGTATTTGAATTTGTATTTAAAAAAATCTAAAAAAAAATTTAAACATTTGTTGCTAACGGTAGGACTCGAACCACGGCAGAGATGTTCCGAAGCTTGGCGCGCTAACCACTCGACTACGCTGACGCATTAAGAACTCAAGATTTAAAATTTTATAAAAATTGTTTTTAACAGATATAAATGCAAAAGATTAGAAATCGGTATTATGCTAATATAAAATAGTTTAACTTTTAATTATTTTCAGAAACAATAAATTTTATAAAATAATTTAGTGTACATATAAAATTAAAATCTTTAGTTATGTTCTAAATAAAAATATACTTTTTTTTAGCCCCCTTACCATTTTTAAAAAAAGTTATGGTCGCCGCGTGGCAAGTTCATCAGCTTGGCATGAGGTTTTGTTGTTTAAAATGCAAATCAAAAGTTATATAGATTTTATATTCTATATATAAACATGTTTTTTACTAATTTTCCTTGCTCAATTTAGTTGTAAATAAACTTGAAAAGTTTAACTAAAATAACATAAGTATCTCAATAATGACACATCCGCAAAAAAAATAAAAAGGAAGGTTGCTGATGGTAGGACTTGAACCACGGCTAACTTGGTCAGAAGCCCAGCGCGCTAACCACTCTACTACGCTGTCACGTAGTGACTTGAAGATTTCAAATTATATAAAAATTGTTTTTTAATGGATAAAAACACAAAAGATTAGAAATAAAGCAAAGGTTGACGAAATGCAGTTCTTAAGTGAAAATCAAACTGTTGAACTGTTGGACTTACTATTAAGTCCAGTATTATTATAAAGAGATAACCTTACCACCAAAAGAAAATTTGTTATTACAAATATCTTGTAATAGTTTATCAATGGCACTCAAAGCATATTTGGGTCATAGATGCTTCATCAAGTAAATACAAACTGACTTGTTTCAGGAATCTACCATGAATAGAGTTACATTACATGTGCTAGTTTCAAAATTGGAACAGGAAGTTTAAATAAGCCATGTATTGTGCACTCATTTTTGAGAAGAGTTGCAGCTATTCCTGTCCATGCAGCTGTTGCAGTTCTAATATGCCTGCTTCGTGTTTCAGCAATTAAATAATTGTAAATAAATGTTTTACCACAACCAGCAGGCCCATCCATAAAGAACAATCTTGAATGCATATTTTCATTAATAGGTTCCTCACTCAGTGCAGCAAGGATTGCATCAGCTACATTACGCTGATTATCATTCAATAATGGTCTAACTCGGTTTGCTTCATCAATAAACACCTGAACATCTTCATCATCATTTTCTGGGACATGATCTAAAAACTGTTCTAAAGCAGGCAAATTATAATCAGCTAAGGTTTTACTACTCTGATTAACTATAGATTCAATTTGACAAAGTGCTGCCTGTTTAACAAGCTATATATATATATATATATATATATATATATATATATATATATATATATATATATATATATATATATATATATATATATATATGCAAAATATAACATGAAATTTGAATAAAAAAAATATACTTTAGGATGTATAAATGTATATGGAACCCCGGTCACAAACCTGGCCCCGGCTATATTTTATCAAACCTGGCCTTGGCCCTGGTCAAATATCAACCCTAGTTGTTTACTATTTGTATAAGGCACAAATAGCTAAATTAAGTCTATGACTGCTGCAATGAGTATATGTAACTTTTTCATTCAGATATAGAGTACAAGAGGACAAACCTTTAGTGTGACCATAAATATAAAATAATCCTTGACTAATAGCACCATTTGTGTGATCTAAAAAACTTATAAATTCTCTTATTGAGCTTTGAATCGACAAACTATATATTTAATAAAAGTTAGTGGTAGAGCGCTCGCTTTATAAGTGAGAGGTTCCGACTTTGATCCCCAACTCATCCCTGGTAGTACCGCACTCAACTTGTTTCTATGCGCAGTGGCCTTATTTGTCAAGGTTGGTGTTTCGGAGTTATAGAGTAGAGAAAGGGTTATAACTACAATTAAATAGCCTCCTCGTCTGTAGTGGCCTTCTCGACCTTGAGGAAGTGAATTAACAAAAAAAAAAAGAGTTGTTCATTACTTAAACTGTCAGAGGCTTCATCAGCAAAAATAAAAAAAATGTTTACAATTTAAAAGTTTTTGTTATATTGTGTCAGTAATAACTTCTCTAAAACACTTTAATAATTGATCATTTAGTGTCTTAGATATGTTGATCTTAGGAATTTTATCACCAGCTTTAACATGGAAATGTTCCAAACCTAATTTTTTAAGAAAAATAAACACTTTACAAAAGTTGACAAGACTCATATCTTTACAAGAAATTATAATTTTCTGTAATATACCTTTCAAAGAGATTAATTTTGTTTTGTCATTTTGTTGCATGATGTTTTTAACTTTATGATTAAGTAATATTTTAAACTAACACTTTTAACATCTAACATTAAGCGACATTTTAAATATCATAATAAACCTTAAGATGGTGTAAGTGTTGTGGGATGTCCGGCTGTTTTTATATAAATAAAATCAAATACTTTAAAATTTATTATTGAAAATCAAACTAAATAAAAAGATAAATCATAGAAAAAAATATTGCTGGTGGCATCCATTGATGTATTTTGTCATGTATTAATTATTAAAACTTGTTTTACCACCTGATTATTGCAAAACAATGGATTATGACTAAGATTTTACTTAAGGTGTTACTTTAAAGATTACTACTTTAGGCACGTCCAGAAATTATTATAAGTAAAGAAATTAATATCTTGCTTTTTTTAACAAAACAAATAAAAATTAAAATATTTTTTTTATTGTTTGATAAAATAATAGTGGGGCGTCCATTATTCCTTCTAATTAAATATTATTTATTTATCATTACTTTGACCTCCAGTGAAGAAATGAATTTTTATATAAACATGAAAAGCCACTCTTTACAAGAAGCAATTTTTTTTTTTATATTAGCGTTTAAATAACTTAAATCCGATAATCAAACTTAAATCTTATTTACTTGATGGTTAAGTAAAAAATTATTTATATATGCAATATTAAAATATTAAATTATCTTTTTTTTTTAGATTCAATTTTACTTTTGGGTACGTGTACAGACATACTAGACGTACACTAAATCCACCCCTGAATGTGTGCTCAATTAAATTAAAATATGCCTAAGAATTAAAATAAAAATTGTAATAATTCTTAATGTATTAATAAATTTTTTTTGTTGTTGTTAAAAATGCTATAAATGGAAAATATAATGATTTTTACTGTTATTAAAATAAAAATTAGGTTTAGTAAAGTAAAACATAAAAATTATTCAGTTTTTATTTAAGTTTTTAATTATCTTACATTAAAGTTTTCACTGCTACTTAATTATTATAAAAAGGAAAAATATTTTAGATTTGAGTGATAAATGTGAAGATAATTGGATATATAATGAAAATCATTGTTACTTTTTCAACAGTATAACTACAAAAAGTTGGCAAGATTCTTATTCATTATGTCTTAATTACGGAGGTAACTTGTTAAGTGTAGCTGATGAAGCAGAAAATTTGTTTATTAAAAATCAACTTCAAGATGACACAATTAAAAATCAAATTTTCTGGATAGGTATAATACATAAGTATTTTTACTATTAAGTTTTACTTTACACATACAAAATACATGTCGATTTCACACTAGTCAGCTCATTGAACATGTTTATTTACTCTAATGTGTGTATAGTATATTGTTTCATGGGTTTGTAAATGCAATATATTTGCTAAACTTATGTATCTTTTATATTATTTTTCATTCAGGACTAAATGATCTGATAAATGAAAACATATTTGAGTGGTCACCAGTGGTTATCTATAATTGGTTGCAAAATCAGCCCAATAACAATGGCGGAAATGAAGACTGTGTGGTTGCAAATTCAGTTGGTTGGAATGACTCTCCTTGTGATTCACTTTTTGGTTTTATATGTAAAACAAAATCAGGTTATATATACGGACAAAATAAGTGTCAATATATATAAGATTTTTTTAAATAATCAATTTTTTATAATTTATATAATATTTAATATATATAATATATATATATATATATATAATATATATATATATATATATATATATATATATATATATATATATATATATATATATATATATATATATATATATAATATATATATATATATATATATATATATATGTATATATATATATGTATATATATATATATATATATATATATATATATATATATATATATATAATAATTTATATATTAGAATTTGCTGAGCTTGTTGAGCAAAAGTTGATTAATGGTAGCTTGAATGCAACACTGTCATTGCTAGAAAAAACCTATTCAGTTTCGTTTAAATTAAAACCCAGATCATATTCACAAGGATGGAAAAGTGTTGTTCATTTAACAATCGGAGAAAACTACGGTCGATATGGTGATAGATGCCCAGCTGTATGGTTTCATGGTGATGGCTCAGGAAGGTTATATATTTCTGCAGCTGTCAATGGAAATGAAGATTATACTTTTACAACCCAGCCTCTGCCGCTAAATCAGTGGTCAAGTTTACAAATATCACAGTTTCAAACAAATGGAGTTTATATGTATACAATATATTTAAATGAGTTACTTGTTCATAGCGTTATAAATACAAAGCCACAATCTTTTTCAAATGTTAAAGTCTATACTGCAGATCCATGGCATAATGCACAAGATGGCTTTATTAAAGATCTCAAAATTATAACTGGATATAATGGTGAGGATATTATACATTATTTGTTAGGTTTTTTTTACCAATTCATGTTGGTTAAATAATGTTTTTAGAAAAAATAGTGTTTAACTTTCACTCAAAATAGTTATTATGCAATAGTTGAATAGTTAACAATTTGTTAATTTACAAGTTAATAATTTTAAGTTGTTGAAATGTTACAGCAATATGTAAATTTCTTGCATATTTAAAATAATGAATAGTAAATAGCTTGTAACCATTAAAAAAAATCCCACCAATCAACGATAAATTTAATTAAAAATCCATGTTAATATAAATAAATGATTGAAATGAGTGTTTTGAACTGTGTTTTCTAAAAAACTACTTAATCAATTTAACAATATTTTTTTAAATAATTTTTTAAATTAAATACGCAATCTGTTTTTAATAGTGCATACATAAATAGTTTTTAACAACTGGTTATGATTAAGTTTTTGGACTAGAGTTAATGTAGTTAGATAATGGAGTTAATGGAGTTAGATAATGGAGTTAATGGAGTTAGATAATGGAGTTAATGGAGTTAAATATCCCTGCTAAAAAATGTACAGGATTTTACAATTTTAGTTGAAATAATCAAAAAATATATATATATTTTTTTAATTTTATAATTTTTAAACAATGACAAAATGGCAGTGAGCTAAACAGCCTACCTGGAAACCATAACTTAAAAGTATTTGGTACCTTTTTTAAATAAATTTTATAGTCAAGAATATGTATTTTGGCCAAACTTGGCATCTGCTCATTATTCAAAAAAAAAAAGAAATCTTGATGAAAAATGATTGAAATTTTTATAACCTAAATCATGGCCTACTTAAATTACAAGGCCGGATTTGTTGCATTTTCCTTAAAATATTAAGTGGCCAGTTTTTTTACGGCTCAAGTAATTATAATAATAAAAATAAATCTTAATTTTTGTTATGGTTAAGAGTCTTTTTTGTACTATAAATACTTTATTCTTATTTTATTAAAATGGTTTAATAATAGTTAGATTTTCTTTAAGTTCTTACATTATTTTGTGCTGGATTTTTTGTGAACTGATTCCCTGCTTCAGTTCTTCTCTGTATAAAATAGCGTTTATTGATCATAAGTTTAACATTGAAATCTTTTTGCTAATTTTTACCAATATTACTTGCTTTAGTATATATATCTTTGCTATATTTAGAAAGCCGACACTAGTATTTATGCAGACAACTAAGCAATATCTTGCATAATATTTTTAAGGGTTATCAAAATTCTGATAAATAGTTTCCTGGAAAATTTGTCAAAATCTTTTTGCTAATGTATATTTTTTAAAGAGTTACAAAAAGTCTACCACTGGTCATTTAACTATACTTAAAAAACCTAGCTCCAAAGGATCACTTTTTAAATTAGAACTAAAAACAAATGTTAGGCCTTCTTTCAGCAAATCATTCATAAGAGATACAATTCCTTGTAGTGTTGTAATTAGAACAAGAGAAGTTTGTTTGTTTATTGTAAAGTATTTATCAAATTTTATTTTGATCAAATTTCGGTACAATTTGCAATTTCTCTATAAAGTGTGGTTTGTTATCACCTTTCAAAGTAGCATTGCTGAGTTTGATTGGATGAATTAAGTTTCTGCTTTGAATTAAGAATAATAACTAACTTATAAAACAATGATAAAAAATGTGCTGCATCATTTCTTTGAGGAAAATAATTCTGTATTACAGCTGCAGTTGTTTCGTCAAATATTGTCAATGTTGACAACTTGTTTGTTATTTCCCAAGATATGTGACTTGATAATTAATTTTTCTTGCTTTTTTTTTTTTGCCTGTTTAATAATTGATCTTTTAATAAACTTTAAGAAATATTTATTTATTTTATTTATTTACTTTCGTAATGCATTTTTATAGTTTCATAAAGCATATACTGGAGATGGAAAATTATTAATTTATCATCCAGTTGAGAAAAGGAGTGTTTCAAACATACAACATACTTATTACTTGATATACTCTGTTTTATAAAAAATGTAAAAAACAACATGTTAAACGCAAAAAAGTTTTTTTTTTTTAATGTTTTGTTACATTGCAGGAAATAAAATATATTCCCTGCAGTGTATCCAAACATTAAAAAAAAAAAACATTTTTTTGTGTTTAACAAATTGTTTTTTACATATTTTATAAAACAGAGTATATCAAATAATAAGTATGTTTTAAACACTCCTTTTCTAAACTGGATGATAAATTAATAATTTTTATCTCCAGTATATGCTTTATGAAACTAAAAATGCATTAAAGTTGGTAGAATGATAATTGATAAAAACTTATCTTAAATTCAGATTAGCGCATTGAGGTAATACACTCATTAATTTCTTTTTTCGAACATAAACCTGTTAACTTTAGGTGAGGATTTTAATACATAAGAATAAATTTTCAAGTCCTTTCAATCATAAAAACAAAAACAATTTCTTTTTAAAGTTTATTTTCTCAATTTTCACCAAATTGTTTAACACTTTGATATTGGGCTGCTTTTTTGCAAATACATCTTACCCACAAGAAGCAGATAATCACTTAATACCAAATTTTTGTCAATGATTTTTTTAATATATTATAGTTTTTTAATTTGTAATTTTCACCACTGTAAAACCATTTAGGTAAAGAAATAATATAGCATTTGTGAGCCAATGAAAAATTAAGAATTTTATTAAAAGCTATTGACTTCAAAAAAGTTAGTATGCCTCATTTCCTGGCCTATTGTAAGTAAATGGCCTGATTTGTTGCATTTTAATTACTGCATGTTTGAAACATACAGCATAATAGTATTTACATCGCAAAACATTGTTTTACAGTGTAAAAATTTCAAAGAAAAATCTATATTTTATACCTAATAATTGCAAATAAAATAAATACAAAATTACAAACCTTTTATATTATTTTTAATGGAGAGTTGTGGGTAGTTTGAGCAGTATGTATGGTTATTTTTAGTAGCATGTTGTATGTGTTGATATAGCTATCTGAAAACCTATTTCAGTATTCTGTGTTATTGGAATAAACTGAAGCAGGGAATCAGTTCACAAAAAATCTAGCACAAAATAATGTAATTACTCAAAGAAAATATAATATTAATAAAACATTTTAATAAAAATAAAACATTTATAGTGCAAACAAGACTCTTAAGCATAACAAAAGTTAAGTTTTTATACTTATTTTTTATACTGGGCAGTGAAAAACTGGCCTCTTATTTTTTTTACAGAAAATGCAACAAATCAGAGTGTGTAATTTAAGTAGGCCATGTCTAAATAATGCATCAATTGGTCCAAATCACATTTCAGAATTCCAGATATATTATTTTAAATGTCAATCTCTCAATAAATAATGGTTTTGTATCAAAATTGGATATCCTAGTATTATATTTATATAAATCTCTTAAAAATTGACTGGAAATATTAAAAGAAACGATTTTTAGAATTGTTTCAATTTATTTTTAGTATTAACTTGTTTTTTAGATAGTTTTGTTTAGGGTTTCTGAAAAACAGTGGTTTTTAAAAAACAGCTGTTTTACTGTTTTAGAATTTTTAAGAACAGCTGTTAACTGCTGCTTTACTTGTTTTAAACATTTTATTTTAAATATTAACAAAATATCTTTGTCCTCTTAAAGTAGTAAACTTATCAATAGTCATGCTAAACTTTCATTTACTGTCTACCTTTATTTTTATGGTGTCAATCTTTTTTTTTTTTTTTTGCTTTTCATAAAAATCAAAAAACAGAAGTAGGGGAGTTTAAATACTTCAAATTTACCCACTTTCAAAAAAACAGTTCATAACTGGTTATAAATTATTTTCAAGTTAATGTAAATAAAAAACTTGTTCTAGAAGCTCTGTTTATAAATTAACAAACTTTAAACAAGAAAACTTTAGTACTAGATCAGTAAAATAGAACAATTAAAATAAAAAACTCCCTAGTATTAGCTTATGTGCTAACTTAGTACTAACCTTTGTGCTCAGTTTTTTTTTTAATAAAAAAAAGTGCTAACTAGTGACTATATGTTAAATTGTTTTATATATAAAATTTAAAATGAAAGTCAAATCAAATTGCCATTGTTTAAATAAACGTGTTATTAAAGAAACTTTTATATTAGCAATTTTGATATATATATTTTTTAATTTAAAACCAAGGACAATATAAACTATTTAAAGATAAAAAAGTAAACTTTGTTTAAAACTTTTATCTAAAAAAGTTTTATTGAAAAAGTTTGAACATTTTGAGGTTTGAATGAATCTTTATGCTGTTAAAACTCATAATAATATCGAAATAGAACTTATTCATTACGGCGAACGTATAAAAAAAGGTTTAAGATTTTATTTTTTTGTCGCTTTAACTTTAATTTAAGAAAATTGAAAAAACAGTTAACACAGTCATTTAAAAAACAGCTGTTTTTTGCTTTTGATTTTTCTTAAAAACAGCTGTTTTACTGTTACTGTTCAACAGTGTTCAGAAACCCTAGTTTTTTTTAATATAGTAAAGAGCTGGATTGTAGTTTGTAAAATAATATACTTATCAATAAACACATTGAATATCAAACCTTAAAACTTAGCAACTTTAAAAACTAATAAATTACCTTGTCATAAAAAAACAAAAATTTTGACTCCTCTTAGGCCTAATCATGTCAAATAATTTTTTTGTCAAAACATAACATAGTAGTAACTGTTTCACCTCACAAAAGTGGTTGTCAAAAGTCTTAGATGCCTTTACAATTACACGATTAGGTCTACATGTATCATGGTGCCCTACTCTTTCTTATATAATTTTTATAATTCTTACATATGGAAAGTTAAGTTTTTAAAGATGGAGTTGCAACGCCCAAGCCCGATTAGTAAGTGGCTGGGGGCCCCAGCCCCAGCTAAATTTGGAGCTTTTACAACCCCAGCCCTGGCTTAGCAAACAAGATTAGCAGGGTTTAAAAGCCAGAGTTAGGAAATTTTTTTTTTAGTTTGAAATGTTTGTTTTTATAATATACTGTATAAATTTTCATAATTAAAACAAAGTCTAATGACTTATTTGGAGCATATGTGGCCTTACAAGCCTAAAGG